AACGAAAAAGGCACAAACACCAGAAGCGAATCCGAGCCCGGAGCTGCTTGCGGGCAGCCTGTCGGAACTACAATTCCCAGCGCTCCCGGGGAGGGAAGAGTGACTGGAACGCAGCAGAGTCGCTCCGCTGCTCGGGATCGGGGATCGGAGGTCACCCGGGATCCAGAGCGGATCGGTGCGGCTGAGACAGCGCTCCTTCGGTGCAGTAAGTGGGGACAGTCCCGGGGAACAGCAGCTAGCTGGAGCCCGCTCTGCGGGCTGCACGGCGTGGGTGCAGTTCACAYCAGGTCGGAGTTTTTGCCGTCTCCAGAGTGTTCAGTGAGCCCGGCCAAAGCCTGGCTCCTGGCGGCGGTTCCTAGGGAGGAAGGGGTTAAACACCCGCGCTCATAATGGTAGGCACGAGCTGTTCCCTTTGTCCCACGCCGGTGACATTCTGCTGCTCGTTCCAGAGCAAAGGGCAGCGCTCCTGCCTGTCACACGCCGGGCTGTGCGGTGGAGGGACAGACACGCGACTGTCGCACCACAAAACCCTCTCAGGCAGGGCTGTGTGGCACTCCCCGTCCTCACACGTGTCTGCCCCAGCGTGCCTTCCCCAACAGGTTTGGCTCCCCTGTCTCCCAGGGGTTCGTCCCTGTCAGCTGAGACGGTGGCAGAGAAGTCCAAACCCCGAGGCAAAGCGTCCACGAGCAAATAGCAACCTCTGCTGAAGCACCTCTCAGGCTCCCATCGCTGACCTTTGCTGAAGGAAGAACTCTCAGACTCTTCCTGGCACTAATTATGTGCCTGTAACAAAGCGAAAGTAACTTCCTCCTTGAAGGGCTTTCAGGTTCTATGGCTGCAAAGTGAAATATTCAAAGTAATCATTCAGGATTATGGACCACAGTTYGTTTTTGTCTCGGGTGAATGCTAGCGATGGCAGTGTCTCTGACTGTTTCCTGACACCCTGAAGCCGAGGTCAAGCTGCAGTCTGAGACTGCCTGAGCTGAAAACGTGGTGGGATTCTTTGGCACAAAAAGCATTCATAGCTGGAGATGATCCTATTCAGCTGCGACTGCTGCCGCCTAACTCAGGGAATTTTATTCCAGTTGCAGCTGGTATTTTGTCTTTCTCCTGGCAATCAGTGCCTTTCCCACAGATCCACTGTGAGCTGCAATAGGATGTGTGGTTGGATTGAGGCCATGACAACTGTGTAGGAAACCAACAAAAGAGCAGCCACCGTCTCTGCCCTTTTCYCCAGGGACACAGGGATTTGGGACAGGAAGGTTCAATCTATCTTACACCAAGTTCTGTAAGACTTGTGCACACTTCAGAGATGGAAACAAACAGGTGTTTTTAGGTAGTCCTAAAACCAGCTTGAAACTGAGTTTGAAGTGTGACTGGAGTGATATTTTAGAAAGCAGATTCTGCAGACCCTGTGAGAGGGGGAGTTACCTGGTTATTGCACCTTTTAAAACAAACAACTTTGCAGGGCTGCTGCATTACATTTTATACCTCTTTTTTTAGGCAGAGACACCATCTACAGGTGTTGGTCATGGCGGTAGTTTATCAAGCACTACACAGGAGAGTTTCCTCTCTCGTCTGCAGGTTACACTCCACCTACGTGAGAAAAATGAGGTGAGTTCTCATCTGATTCTTGAGCACTGGGAGGCCAGAGCTTGGCACAAGCAGCCCTAACTCTAACGCCAGGGTTAATCTTTTAGCTGTTCAGCCATCCCATAGTAACTCACTGTGAGCTCTGTGGATGGTAATAGCCAAAGCGTCTCTGCTCCTCTCACTGCTTCAAACAGTCTGAAGGAAGCACATGCTGACACCCTTTTGCCAATGATTTTTTTTCCTAACTCAGTCCTGCCAGCTGTGCCCCAATATTTGTTTTTTTACCCCTCACATCAGTGTGACAGGTACGACACGATGCATGTAGCCTGAAGGGAACCAGATTCAAGATTGGAAGTGCTTATCAGCTTGGCCAAATAGCCATTTGGAGTCCTTCAAATTGGGGGATAAAAGGGAAAAAATCAAGGTTTCCTGCACACAGATGATCATGTATTTTCTGCCACACGGCCTTCACTAGAGGCTGCAGTGACTCATCTGTTAAAATCTCTGAAAGCACGTGGAATACCTTAAATCTGATCTGCCCATTCAGCCCCCCTGCTCTGTGCAGAATAAACACATCCAAATTACCAATACCACTGRTAATCTCATCTTCCCAATCATTTTCTCACTGCAGATACTTAAATGAGTTAAAGGAGGATGACAGCCTTTGTAGACAAGCCCTGACCTCAGGAACTTTCTACCTCTTTCACAATCTCTCCCCTTTCCTGCAGAAGGTTGGGAAGAAATATCTGGTGCCACAGCTCAGCGCAGCAGGTAAGAAAGGAATCAGTGCAACCAGAAAGAAACACCTCGTGGATCACACAGCTGAAATAAAACAGAGGCAGACRCATACGATATTACCCTGATCTGTTCTGAGGTGATCAAATTTAAACATTTGTGACTGTGCATTTTGAAGAGGGCTGGCAGGAAAATAAGCAACGTCTTGCTGACAGGTTTTTTTTCTGTAATGAAGGACAAGTCTTGAGAGAAAGGTATTGGCTGGTSCAGGACAGAGCCAATGGACAGCTCCTCCCCAAGCATTATAGCACTGGACCTTTAACTTGATATTGTCAAAACTTCCAAGAGCTTAGGGGGAAAGCCAGATTTTGGGTGTTGACCTGGGTGGGATCACTTGTCTGGTCCCCTCTCACACATAGGCATTCTGCCTTAAGCCAAGATTGCCTGTGCCTTGAAGATCCAGAGAGCAGCACAGTTGTGTGGATGTGCTTTCACCACAGCTTTCTCTTCCCCTTTCCCTGCTGTTTAGAGATGAAACAGATTCTGGAGAAATTCCAAGAGGCCGAACAGTGGATAGAGAAGTCGGTGCTGATCGGTTGTTCAGACGAGCACAGACCACAGTTTGCCCTGGATTTAGGTTGGGATGACTCCTCTTCCATCCATGCCAGCACCAGTTTGATGCACTGAGGTGAAGGTGCTGCCAGGGCAGCATCCCTGACTCTTGGGAGATCCTGTCCTGCCAAGGAGGRTTGGGTTGAGTCTCTGCAGGAGCTGCTGTGAATGTGGCAGCTGCACTGCTGCTCCTGTGCTGTGTTTGTGAAGGTGGGCTGGGGGCAGGCCATTAACATTTGGGAATGTTACCCTTCATATGGAGTCACTTCCAGGGGAACTCCCAGAAATTGTATACTTGGACAATCAAGGGCATAAAGTTGGGATAACAACTGAAATTGATAAGCCCATATATTTTTTCCTTTTCAACAGGMGCCTTGGAGAAATCAGCCATCGAGTCAGAACTGCAGGGATCGTTTACTGACCTGCGAAAGGCYCTCTTTGTGGTGGATGGGAAGGATTCTCCTTTGCTGGCTTCGGTATTGGACAGGGCTTTTAAGAAGCTGTGATTTCTAACATCAACCCTTCTCCTCATCTCCCATATTGCTTTATGATCTTGTATCGCAGAAGTACCTACTGTACATTTTCAGGGATCTAGGTACAGACACACTATAAATCACACTAGTTTTCCCAAGTCTGTGATCCCAAAAGCAAGATGCGAGGGAAAGAGAAACAGACAAGTGACTTAAAAGTGACTGCAGTCATTTATGCCATTCAGCATCAAGCTGCTGTATGTTCACAGTGCAGTCCCAGCACTCCCAGTTTGTCCTCTGCTCAACAACTGTCAGGCAAACTGGATGTCACAAACAAACTTGCACACCTTCTCTTAGAGCTGCTCTTTTAAAACTTCTCACTTACAGGCTGGTACTCTGCAGATACCCTATGTTTGGAAGGCCTAAGAAAAGGTCTGTGTGTGAAAACCAGCTGTCCTGACCCACAAGGAGAAATAGCTCATGTTTTCTTTCCTGCTCTATGTTTGTGATGCTTGGGCTATTTTTCAAGGAGATATTCAGGGCTGGAGACTCTTTAAAATAGTCCAGTTCCCATTACAACTCCCATTATGTCCCAAGAAGCAACAGCCCTTCCCCAAACATGCTCAAATTTAGAAGTGGGAAATATGGATTGCAGAATCTGCCATTCTGCCATTTTTTAAAGCAGTGCCCATGCTTCATTTACCTCTCTGAGGCTTCCAAAGATAATCACAGTTTCTCCCCATGCTTGCATATAAAGCATTATTCAGGGAGAATGCTCTGAATTCTCTCTTTCCCCCAGGTATAAATAAGGTTTGTGTTCCTCTGTGCTGGTAGGCCCAGTCCCTTCTCCGGTGGCACGATTCCCAYCAGTACTGCAGCAAAACTGGGCAGCCCACTCAGAAGAACCCAGCTGGCAGCAAGCGTGTGTGCCAYGCCAGTGGAATCACTTACTACCCCCAGGTGAGCAGCTGGCAGCACAGTGAGGGACACGGGGCTCTGGGTCACCCAGAGGGGAAGCAGGAAAAGGGATTTGTGGGTAGCTGGGTACTTCGTCTTTAGTGGTCAGCTAGTGACCTTCAACCAGCCAGGAAAAGCAAAAAATTGCATTTTTTTGTTTGGTCTGAACTTCTTCATTTGCCTTTTGATGCCTCTGTCAGATGTCCCCAGTGGTCATCGCCCTGGTGTCCGATGGGAGCCGGTGCCTCCTCGCCCGACAGCCCTCGTTTCCCCCAGGGATGTACACRGCTCTCTCAGGATTCTGTGACATGGGTGAGTGGGTTCTGATCCTGCTTGGTGGCCTTGGGCGTGCAGGGTGTGAGGACAGCCTGTGGGACATCAGCCAAATCCCTGATGACAGAGAAGGATGGACACTCAGGTGATCTGTGTCCCCATCCCTGGAAGTGTTCAAGGCTAGGCTGGGTGAGCCTTGGAGCAGCCTGCTCTAGCAGAAGGTGTCCATGCCCATGGCAGGGGATTGGCTCTAAATGATCCCTAAACTCCCTTCCAACCCCAACCTGTCTGTGATTCTGTGATAGCTGGGAAAGACAGTGGATCTAAATAGCAGTGTTCCCATGCAGTTAGAATTCAAAATAGCTGTTGTGTATCTGAAGGGAATGGGAATTACAGGTGTCTAGCAGTTGCTCTAGTCCCTGACAGCAAACATAAGCTTTAAACTCACCAGTTTATAACCCCTGATCCTTTTAAAATCTGTTTTGTGGCTCGTGCAGTCTGGCATGGCAGAAAAACTATAGACCTCTTGTTACAGGAGGGAAAATGGCTTAAAATTTAATTGTTCTGTCCACCATCCATATGTAGACAGGGCCAAAAATATCTCTGGTGCCTGTATCTATCAAAGGTTAATGGATTTAATGGAGCATCCCACCAACACATATTTCCAGGTCAGCACAGCTGGAGCTCCTGCGTGCCTGTGTTTCCCTCGCCACACTTTGCTGCCCTGAAGCCAAGCCGTTCTTGCCTAACTCTGCTTGGTTCCAGGTGAAAATGTGGAGGAGACAGTGCGGCGGGAGGTGGCCGAGGAGGTGGGGCTGGAGGTGGAGTCGCTCCGCTACTCGGGCTCSCAGCACTGGCCGTTCCCCAGCAGCTCGCTGATGATCGCCTGCCACGCCCTGGTGGCAGCGCAGCGCAATGAGGTGAGCGGGCTCAGGCTCCCCTGAGCCATTCCTCTGCCTTCCTCAGGCAGCAAAATCTCATTCAGCCCACAGGATTTGGTTAGGAGAGCACCAAACCCTCCTTCAATTCAGATTTTCATTGGCTTTTTCTGCAAGTGAAGAAGAAAATTAAAAACAACCCTATAATCTCTTGCAAGGTGCCGGATTTCACTCAGGTTACTGTATACATACAAGCCCAGAGCCCAACACCCCTGTGTTTTTTCCTCTGAACTTTGCAGAGGAGGTTCTCTCTCATCTTTGCCATAGAACATGAAGATTTTGCCATGTTTATTACTGTGCTCAGCCACTGGTGCTTTGCTGTGACGGAGCAGGGTTGATTTGTGGCTCCCCTAAGGGAACCAGCACAACAAAGCACTGATGGGTGGTAATATCCTTTCCTGGACTGGTATCAGTGCTTAATTCAGGTGTGGATGTAGCACATTGGGCATTCCAGCATAGGATCTGTGTGGAAACAAGAATGGGCAAGGTACCACTGCCCACATTGAGGAACTGGCACTCTCTGAATTCTTTCCAGATCAGCATTGACAGCCTGGAACTGGAGGAAGCCCGTTGGTTTGGCCTGGAGGAAATCGTGGAGGGTCTCAAGAGAGAGCCCAGATCTTCAAAACAAGATGATGGCAGTTTTTTACCCTGGTTCCCTCCCGAACAGGCCATTGCTCACCACCTGATCCGTGAGTGGGTTCAGCAGCAGAGTGCTCAGACAGCTTAGGCAGGGCTCCATCGAGTCTGATTGTGCCAGAGCTGTGAAAGCTCAACAGAAAAGCTTCTGAAGTCACTGGGGGCAAGGGCTGTGTTACAGTGAGGACAGCACCACACTGATGGCACTCAGGAACCTACAAAGCCATTTCTGAACTGATCATCCTCAGACAGTCCCATATCCAGTGGATCACCTCCAAGATCCCATGGCTTGTGGTAAATGTACAATAAAATTCTGAGTTGCACAGCATCAGACTTCCTGTGACCAGCTGAGCCCATGGCACCAACGTCCCATTTTCCTCCAGATTTTCCATCTTGGATGGATATCAAATGCACTTTTTTTTTTCTAGAACAAAAATAAAGGTAYAGTGGCACTTTCCAGTGTTTGTGTTTATATGGATCTGGGAGAGCTATCAAAGACTAGAAGAAAAACCACTGCCTATTTGCTCTCTTCTTCTTCGTCTCTTCCCAATCTTCCATTTTCATATAAAACACCCTTTTTTTTCTCCCAAGTGTTAAATGGGCTTCTACATTTTCCCACCATTAAGACAGTTRCTTCTGTCCCAAGGAAGAGAGAACAGAGCTATCTGCTGGTAGAGAGGGGAAGAGCAAAACCTACACGAGCATTTTAAAAGAGTGCAGATAATACAAAGGTGACAGGAACTGCTACAAAAAAAAACTGCACTTCCAACAAAGAAAAACCTTGAAAGGAACAGTGGCTCTTACCCTGAGGCCAAAGTCTCTGGCTTGTCTGGAGAGCTGGTCTGATTTACTGATGAAATGGTACCACCTCTCTGGAGGAAGAACAAAGAGACAGTCTGGTCAAGGAAAACTTGGTGAAAGAGACAGATGAAGGAATATTTGATCTGCCGCTGATTCAGACTGACAGTCCTTTCTGCCTGCTTGGTCAGAGCTCAGATGCCAAGACTGCAAAGCCAGATGCTTGAAGGGGGAACAGGGATGTCTCACTGTCTTCCACCACTGGGATTCACTGGAGGTCAGCAGCAGTAAAAACCTGCAATCCTGACAACTGAGCAGTAAGTAAAAAAAGAAGCCTTTCACAYTGTTGAGACACACAGTGTTTCCTCAGGTTTCTTTTACTTTAGGAGGTTGGGAGGGGATTCTTACAGGCTGTGATGGCAGATATGAACACCTTTCCTGCCCTAACCCTCAGACAATAAACCCCACATGTTGGAGCATGTCTTTTATGTTTGTGACTCTTCCAGTTGTCCTGGTGAGAATGCACTCTGGCACAACCAAGGGCATCGCTTCCTGCCCTCCATTACAGCCCACACAGACACACCACAGGAGCCCCCACACCATTCAGCTGCAGCATCCCTGCACCCAGTTCCCTCTGAAACATGCTCATTGCCTCTCCTCATAATAGTTCCTTCTGCTTTTCTCTCCCATCACACCRTTTTAGGCCCCCAAGATTTGTCTCTTGCCCTCCTGTCTCTGGAATCTGCCATTTTCATTTTCAGCCCCACTTCTTCCTTCCCCTTCTCTGTAGTTCCAAGATATTGAAGAGTTAAATATCTGCCAGCAATATATTTCACCTCTGATCCTCTCTCCCACTTGTCCTTAAGCCCTGCCAGTTTACCCTTAGGTAATTCAGTAATGTACCCAAGCCTGCATCCAGCACAATTTATTTAGTCCTTTTTAATACCCACACATGAAACAAAGGAAAAACAAAGCTATTTTCATATTTGCTTCCTTCTGCGACTCACCTCTTAAAAAAGTTTCAGACATCAGCATGTTCCTTTAGTTATTAATAAGAGAAAAAGTCTTTTCAATCTATTCAAATGGGGAGTTTTTTGGTAGAGCTAGAACAAATCCAAGGTAACAATCACATCACATCTTCAGAAAAAACATTAAATTTTAAAGTGCTTTATAAACTCCTTTTGACTTAGTTATGAAACAATATTGGTGGCCTCCATTCCTGATGCTAAGCAAGCAGGAATGATGACAGGCAGTACACAGCTGTGAGCAGGACAGAAAACCACGGTGAGAGACATTGTCCTCACTTGCATTTGCCTCAGAAACCTGTCTGGAGCCTGAGGGACACTCGCTGCAGTCAAGACAAGACATGCTCCATAAAGGCAAGTGACCTAGAAAAAGGAACAAGCAATTCCTGGCAGATCCTTCCTCACCACAGCAGGGCTTTCCCATGGAAAAGGTACCAAGCAGGCAAACGGGACAGAGCAACGTATTTCTCCCCAGAACACATCCCTTAACTGAATCCTCTTTGGGAATACTTGGCTTGTACCAGTCACTGAGACCCCACTGCTTTTAGGGACATAGAGCAAAAGCCAGCACTGAAAAGCTGCCAGGCTGGGGCATTACAGCCCAGGTGCTTATAGGTATTGCCAGTCAGTGGGATATAAAATAATATTCATCATCTATCTCATGAATTAGAAATAACTCTTTTCTTAGCAATGCAGGCAGGGTCAGAGCAGCATCCCACCTACCTCCCAAAAGCAGCACAGCATAAAACTCATACTTATCTCTAACAGGTGCCCACCAGAGGATTAAAGTAACCAAACCTCATGACACAACTTGTCTGATCTCTGACTGCTCAAAAAAATCTTATCTGGAAACAGTGTGGGTTGAGAATTCCCTCACTGCGTGCTCTCCCATCACCTGGGCTGCTCTGSTGTTAGATGGAAAAGCCACATTTTCCTCTCCAGAGGGCTATTWGTTGTGGATGGCAGAAAGTCTGACYTCAGTATTACARCTCTTATATCAWGAAATTATTTCACCTTCAAACATCTTCTGAGACACTGTGGGCACACACTGAGCCTGGTGCTGCCTGAGAGGACACAAATGCTCAGGGGAGTGCCCTGACAACCTGACTGTGTTAAAGTCATTTGTCAGCAAACATTGTTCAAGTAACCACGAGCAGCTTGCCTGTGGCARGGGCAGCACACAGGCTGTCAGAACAAGCTGTAATTACAYGGCTACAACTCCTGTKTTCAGTCTGAGGYGCTGCTCAAACAAACTGAGCTGCCCCAGCCTTCAGCTCCCATCTAATCTTGTTCATTTTCTGACCGAGCAACAGATGGAAAGCTGATGAAATATCCACTGGTCCCTGTGCTGTGCTCTACTGTTTCTACTCATAGAAATACTGCAAAGGGACACAGAAGATTTACCAGTATATTAAAAGGGTGCAGAAAACTAGGAAAGATGAGCTTTGGGATAGGGACAGAAGCAAATTCACACATCATATGATAGTTAAATATGACTGCTGTGAGTATGCAGCATGGAGGACAGTTAGATTAAACTAGATTATATTCCAAAACTGTAACTATTTAGGCTTATAACTGCCATTAAGGTTAATAACCCTTACCCATTACAAAAAAAAAAAATCTGGCCTGAAATAATTTAGATTATCATCCCTACAGCCATTGAGTTTCATTTCTCCCTTTTCCCATCAAATTACAAAGACTTCACTAGAAATCTCTCAATTTCTCTTTCCTACCTGTAACACTGGTGTAGTGCCTTACACAATTGCTCTGAATAAACTGAGCTTTSCCTTCACAATAGCTTTGTTCTTCCCTTCCCAGCCTAGTGAATATCCATTGGGGAGCAATGACCCACTTAAGGAGAGGCTCTGCTCCAAACAGCACCCCTACACTTATAGGAGTAACACACCATGGGATATTCTCCTGAAAGGATTATTCCCTTTGCTTTTTAGCTAGAGCTTGAGGCCAGAAACCTGGAATTTCTTAAGCACCCTGGTGTTTCTATCCCATTTCAAGCCAAGCTGACCCAAAAAAGGCCCCAAAAGGGCCCTAAAATTTACCCGTGACCCCAAGTGACCCGAAAAATGGCCCCAGATTACTAAAAAGATGCCCTAAAAAGACCCAAAGTAGCCTAAAAATGACCCTGAAAGGACCCTAAAGTGACCCCACTCTCCCAAAATGACCCAAAAAATGGCAAGTGACCCAAAAAAGGCCCCAAAATGATCTAAGAAAGGTCCTGAAAAGACCCAGAACAGACTTAAGACAACCCTAAAGTGACCCCACATCCCTTTTTTGCCTCCATTTTCTATCTCATTTTCAATCTCAATCCCAGACCCAGTCAGTAGCACAGCCTCACAGTGATTTCAGCTCCAAGCCTACAGTCCCTTTGTCACCTCTACAGTTTCCATCCCATTTTCAGTCTCTAGCCCAGCCCCAGTGATTTCAGCTCCAGACCCACAAGCTTTATTCCACTGCCAGTTCTGCTGTTCCAGCTGCAGACCCACATTTCTCCAGCAGCACCAGCTCAGGTTGCTCCAGGTTCAAAGAGCAGGATTTTTTTCTTGGCTTCAGCCCTACAGTCTCTGACCCTGCCCCACAGCCACTATTCCAGCCCTACTGTGATTTCAGCTCCAATCCTACAGTTGCTAGCCCACATCCACAGTGAATTTACCTCCAGCTCCACAGGCAGTCTGACACACCCAGCATAATTTCAACTCCAGTCCCAAAGCTCCTTTTACCTCTCCAGAGTTTCTATGCCATTTTAAGTCACTATCCCAGCCCCAGTCAATATCACAGTTCCAGTGATTTCAGCTTCAGCCCTACAGTCTCTTTCCCAGCCCCAGTGATTTCAGTYCAGACCCACAACCTTTATTTCCCTACCAGCTCTGCTCTTCCAGCTGCAGATCTGCATTTCTCCAACAGTGCCAGGTGAAGCCGCTCCAGGTGCAAACAGCAGGGTCTTCATTTTGGCTCCAGCTCTGTAAGGTTTCACCTCCAGCTCTAGAATCCCCATTCCAAACCCAGCACAGCAATCTTTATTCCAGTTCCAGCCCTTAGATTTGTGTTCCACGCTACAGTCCCTTCCCAGATCTACAGACATTATCCCAGTTGAAGTGATTCCAGCTCCAGCACTGCTGTCCCCATCCCAGCCTCAGTGATGTCAGCTTCAGTCCCACAAGCTTTATTTCACTGCCAGCTCTTTTGTTTCACTTCAGGCTCCACATCTTCCCAGCAGTGCCACAAAAAGCTGCCCCTGGTTCCCAGAACATAATCTTTGTTTTAGCTCCAGCTCTGTGTGCTTTCAGCTCAGCTCTTGAACCCATACTCCACCCCCAGCCTGACAATCCTTACTCCAGTTACAGCTCCACAGTCCCTATCCCAGCCCCACAGGGTTTCACCCCCATCCCTACCGTATTTCTGTCTCCTCCAGCTCTGCTGCCTCAGCTTCAGCTCCTCAGCATCCTACTGCTCCAGTTTCTCACTGCAGCCCAGGGCTGTTAGGAAAGCCACAAATCAGCTCCTGTCATCACTTCAATGTCTCTAGGAGCTTTCAGAGCCTTGTGGGATCCCAACTTTGGGGGCACACAAGGCCTGAAACCCAACATGTACCTTTCCACCTGGGTCTCGCCTCCAGCACTTGACCAAAAGGCCCACTCACCTCCCCCAGGCAGCACCAGAGGCTGGCAATGGCTATTGGGCCCCTGCTTCCCCATCCCAAAAGGTGCCCTTGGGCTGGTTCTCAGGCTCTGGAGCCCCTCAGAGCCCCCACACCCTCAGCTTATGCTTGCTACCACCGGGTAGGGGCTGGCAACCCCCCAGGTATCTCCTGTAGCCCTTGAGCTGCAGCTCCACCCCTTCTTCCCATGGGCTTGATCCAGCTCTGGCCCCGTAATTTCAACTGCTCCACATCGGTTTGGGCCTGGCTCAAGTCCCAAGGTCCCCTTATTCCACACTCTGGGGCTTTATATCTCCTACGGCATCGGCAGTT